TGGGTATGCTGCGGAAACGACATCTCCAGTATTTGAGCACAGCTTTTTGTGATTTCTCTCTCTCTGAAGGTATTAAGCTGGCATCTTCTCTGCCTCTCTTTTATAATAGGCTGGTATTGTTTTTGGGCTCTTTTATTATTTTGGTGGCTGGTATTATTTTTGATTTCCATAAGTCTTGGTCTGTTGGCTTTGCTAGTCTTTTATGTTCAGCTGGAACAATGGCAATCCCCCAGCCACCGGCCCTACCCTCAATAACAATTCCCACAAATAATGACACTACCCCTAATCTGTGTGTGCGAGCGCCACTCAATGACAGTTTGGGGAAATCACATTTGAATCACAACAGATGAGTGATGACAGATAGAAATAGGCCCTGGGTGATGCCAACTGAAAATGTGTCATCCGTCCTCTCCCTCTTTTTCTCTCTTTGTCTCTTCCTTTATATATTTATATTCGGCTCCGCGTTCATGCAGAAACCCGCAACTGGCATTTATTGATGGAAAAGCCTATTGTGGCCCATTTCTTTGACAAACACTACATTTCTGATCCCCTCAGGGATCATCTCGGGCTGGGAACCGAGAACCGGTTTTGTGAGCCAGTATTTGGGAATGAAACAGTCAAAAGTTAAAATACTAAACAAATTCTAAATTGAGTCAGAATCAGAAGTTCAGCATCACTCTTTCTGCTCATCTTGTTCCTCTGCTCTGTGTGTGTGTGTGTGTGTTGGGAAGGAAGCCCCACAGCCCTGACCCGCACCCCCCATACTGGCACCAGCTGTGGATCAATACTGGGACAGCTGGGGCTGCCACCCGCCTAAACACTACACACATACACACCCTAAAGTGGATGAAGCTCCCGGTCGCACCCCTTTCTTCCTTGCGCTTCCTGGAAATGTCAGTCAAAGGAAGTTTGAGGTTCATTTTAGGTGTGAGAGCCTGCAGGGGTTTTGTGGTGTTCTCCTCTAACAGGGACACACAAATACACTACACACATGCAGATGAGAAATATCGAATATTGTCATCATTTGAAGTGTTATGTCTGCTATCCTCTCAGTGATGGTGTTAGATTGTCATCGTGTTAACAAAACAAACATTTAAGCACAGGTCACAGGCAAACATCTCCATGATTCACTGGAAAAATTGTAGACAACCCAAACATGCCATGGCACCATGGATGTCATCCAGAGCAATGTTTCTAATCATTTATTTACTGTTGAATATCTTGTTTTACAGTTAATGGTGTTTCAGAAAATGGCAAACATGTAAACTGGAGTTGGGCAAAATAATTTTCATTGTTGTAAACCGTTACATTCTATATTTTATAGGCTTGCCATTTTGAATTTGTATATAGAATTGCAGTGTAGACATTGAATTGCACATATAGTATGCAGCAGTGTTGTTTTTAGTATAATTTATATACTGTCAGTAAAGTATTATATTAGTATAGTATTAGTATAGCATTATAGTATTTATTAATATTTTGTATTAGCTTTTTATATTTTTATATTTTCATTTTAATGTTTAAATTTTTAATAATTTTGCTATTCGATTTGTCAATTTTATTAGTTTTTGTTCATTTTTTAAATATTTCTGTTTAACTTTATTTAAAAATATTTTTTTCATATTCATTTTAGTACTTTTTTAATTGTACTTACTAATTTATTTTAGTTACTGCCAAGACAAAATGTCTTATTTTCTCAGTTTTTAAGTTTAAAATTTGTATCTAGTGTTGAATCTTATTTGGGTTTTATTTCAATTACCAAGAACGATTAATACTAGTTTTAGTTTAAGCTAACAATAACCAATACAGTTACCTAACTTTAGTTAGCTAATACAGTGTGTTTTCTTTAACTTAATATAATCGCACAATGCTAATAATGTAATCAGCTAATGTAAACGCTTTTTGACACTTTGGTTTGATTGTCTCTGCTTTGGGATTAAATTATGTGACAGTGGTTTAATGATATTTTGCAGGATATACACAAAACTTTAATAAAACATACACAAAGTTAACATTTTCCACAATATGTAGTCAAAATCTGCTCACTGATATTTAATGTATGTTTTTGTTTTTAAACATTACAGTTTGACATTCTTCTCTCAGTAGACGTGTCTATATTGGTGTGTGTAGGGTGATATGCTTCTTAAGGGAGCAGCAGGGGGCAGCAGCCAGCCACCCTGGCACCTTCATCTCCCCTCTCCGCCAGGTATTTAGCAATTCTGTGGGTACAATAGCTGCGTATTGATAGTCATATCCCTGTGATAAATTAAAAGTGTCTTATTGTCTCTTTTCATTTTACACATTGTCATAATCCTGGACGGTAATCTGGGGTTCTGATTGACACCAGCAGCCAGGGAAAAGAACACCCTCATTGTTTGCGCTCGTCAAATCTGTTAAACCTAATTCTTCCCCGCATATTTGCATATTCTTAAGTATTTTTTCAGGGGAAGGACTAAATCCTTCTTAAGTGTTTGATGCATTTTGAAATTCATTCATAAAGGACCTACATGCACTATTAGCTTGGTATAATGCCAGTGCATAATCTCAGCGATAAGACACGCTTTGGAGCGCTGGATTCTTCAGGGATGTCGTGCTGTATTTCCGACCGATTCAACAGGGGCTCAAATGTCAACACAAATGTCAAGTCGCCTCGTCGGCGAGCGGTTTTGAATCTTAGACGCAGGTTTTTTCCCCTCCCTTTTATCGTTTTCATTTACTGAAGGAGTCACAGAGGACAGTCTCCCGTCCCAGCTGGAGTGGGGGATTGTGGGTAATTTGTCTGGGTGTGAGATTGGCAGGTGGCACTGTTGTTTTGATCGGGTCAGCGCTCCATCGCTTTACGTCTCTGTCTGTGTTTAAGCCGCCGGCACGTGGTGTGTTCTTGTTCGACACCTCTGATGGTGCCATTCAGTCAGATTAATCACCTTCAGCAAACCGGAAGAAGGAAGACGGGTTAGTGTGCACTGCCCTTGTGAGTCGGCAGGTTTTTATGTGTGTGTATGGAACTGTATCGAGGCATTTCTGAGACGAAAATAGTCGCTCTTCAGCTCTCTGCATCTCAATCTTCCTGAGACTGCTCTGATAAGGGCTCGTCTTTAACTACGGGGACCACTGATACATGCAAACACACACTCATGTGCCTGGGAATGAGATTTCTATCTGGAGATCTATATGTAGTTGCTCCACATATGCACACAGGCAGGTGTATGAATGCAGGCTGTTTGACAGGTTGTACACAAGGCCTTCATTTCTCTCTCTGCTCATTTTGTTTTGGATTGCTCTGCACAACATGCCTGATGGGATAAAAGTGATGAGAGCATAAAGGAAGCTGTCCCTGCACCGTGGCCTGTGTGATGGTGTTGAAACATGTTTCACAGGTTGAGTGTGGTACTTTCATCCGGGAGGAAATTGCTGATACTTAGTCAGCAAGCTGAGAAAATGCTTTAAGAACAAAGACTAAACGTGATGATATTTTTTTGGCTTTGTTAAATAAGAGGAGGCAGGTCAGGAAATGTCTCCAACTGCGTTTCCGGCCTATCTGGCAAATGGTGGGATAGTGTTTTGTTTTGTTCCGTTTTTATTAGATGTTGTCACCCTAAAGTCATTTTGGCACATGGCTGGTGTCAAACCCTTTTCCTCTCATTACTTTTTTTTTTAAACCATTATTATTATTAATTGTAGCACAGTCTGAATCCATAAAAGAATTGATGTTTACTGGACTTCACTAACCATAAACAAATCCAATGAATGGGAGAGCAGAATCAGGGCCAGTTCAGGTTTCCTTTCTAGTCCTTTTAGAATATTCCAGACTTTTACCTACAGGGGGCGCCATTGACCATTATGACCGGGCATGTTTGCTCTGCTGTTGTCAGAGGTGATAAACTAATACTGAGTTTGGTTATTTAAATTATTTAGCCAAATTAACACCTTTTAGTTCCAATATGACCTTTTCTTTGTCTGAAAAGTCGTTTGAAGGTTGACGTGATATATGCCTGTAAATGGCTTCCAAATGTAGCTTTATCTCAGCATAGAGAATTCGGTTTCATTCTGTTTGCTAGATTTTTTAGCATTCTTTTCTTTTAGAGTTCATACTCCATTAAGACATAAACTTCTATGTCTACATAAACTTGTATGCACGTGTTCCAGGAGTGCTGTTTTCCCCTGGGGTGTGTGTGTGGGCTTTGTACATGTTAAAACAGGAGATGATTTTACCTGTAAGTGTGAGGATTAGCAACTTTCATTCATTCTTTTTGATTTTTATTTTTTCTTAGTAAAGCACCACAGGGTTGTTTTGTCAAATGTGACTCTGGACCACAAAACCAGTCATAAGGGTCAATTTTTGTAAATTGAGATTTATACATTCAGCTGAAAGCTGAATAAATAAGCTTTCCATTGATGTATGGTTTGTTATGATAGGACATAAATTTGGCCGAGATACAACTATTTGAAAATCTGGAATCTGAGGGTGCAAAAAAAATAAAAATATTGAGAAAATCGCCTTTAAAGTTGTCCAAATTAAGTTCTTAGCAATGCATATTACTAATCAAAAATGAAGTTTTGATATATTTACAGTAGGAAATTTACAAAATATCTTTATGGAACATGATCTTTACTTAATATCCTAATGATTTTTGGCATAAAAGAAAAATCAATCATTTTGACCCATACAATGTATTTTTGGCTATTGCTACAAATATACCCCAGCGACTTAAGACTGGTTTTGTGGTCCAGGGTCACATATGTATTTATTACGATTTGAAACTGTTAAAAACATATTGATGTCAGTTTATGAGATTTTTTTTTTCAATGAAGTGTTGGTAGCAATTGTAATAAAGGAGTTTAATTTAAATTTTTTCAGCTTAAGAAGTGTTCTAACTCTCTCTTTTGTGTGTGTGTGTGTGTGTGTGTGTGTGTGTGTGTGTGTGTGTTTTTTTTTAGCTCCTCTTTTGTGTGTGTGTGTGTGTGTGTGTGTGTGTGTGTGTGTGTGTGTGTTATTTTAGGAATCTCCGTCAGGTCGTCGGAAAGCGTTGGCCACCAGCTGCATTAACATGAAGCAGTACGCCAGTGCCATGCCCACACAGACAGACGTCAAGCTCAAGTTCAAGCCGCTGTCCAAGAAAGTGGTTTCCGCAACACTGCAGTTCTCCCTGTCCTGCATCTTTCTGCGAGAGGGCAAAGCCACGTAAGAGCAGCCCACTACACCACCCACACCTCCAAAACCAGCTGACTGCACCCCACCCTGAAGGAATGCTGCCACTTTAAATTACGCTCTTATTCCTTTTCTCTCTGTTCATTTCTTTCTTTTTTTGCCTCAGTGACAGGGAGTGACGATACCTGACATTCCCAACATTCCTTTCCCTGGATCTCTCCCCCTCACATCCCTCTCTCCAGCCCTTCCTCTTTGAAAGTGACTGTGTGAGCTGTGCTTCATACCTCGCTACACTATTGACAACAGACAGTGGGCCTTTTTGACCATGACATTTTGGTGAATTTTGCTAAACTGAACTTAAATACTTCACACACATTTTTTTGATGCAGATATAATATGATTCTGTGATTAACACTTTGGGTGATCTTTTATTAGTTTGTCATTAAAATATAGTTCATTGGTCAGAAGTAATTGTGGCAATCAAATTTCTGTTATTATTAAAGGGGTCATATGATGCGATTTCAATTTTTCCTTTCTCTTTGAAGTGTTACAAGCTCTTGGTGCATGTTTCAGAAAGGCGGGCATAGAGGAGAAACAATAATGTACAGTATGTGGAAAATAATGTGTTTTTTGAACCTTAAACCGCATAAACACATTTCATTACACCAAATACACAAAATAATGTTCTTTTTAGCAACATCATATGACCCCTTTAATTCATATTTATTTATATTATTATAGAAAAATAGAATAGAATATATAAACAGAATTATTTTTATTTGAATGTTATTATATTATTTTTATGCAACTTGCTTGTTCCCTGGGTACTGTTGTTCAGAAAATATCAGGAAACACACATTTACGACTGTACCTCACGTTCCCCTGGCATGCACTAAAAGAAATCAAATCCTTTTGGAGAACTTCGCCCCAGACTTGAGCTGTTGCTTTTTGACATGCGTGTCACAACAAACAGAAGTCAGATGGAATCTTTCCAGCCACTGGCCTTGAGAGTTTAAATATCTTTCCTTCACTCGTCTCGCAATATCCACGTTTCCCTCTTTTTTTTTCTGATCTCTGCTTCCCTCTAAATAAAGGAAGCAAGAAGCGTGTGTGAGTGTATGTGATTTCACCCTTGCGCTATATGAGATACGTGTATGTTTGTGTGGCTTTTGTGGCGTGAGGTTATGCGACGGAAGTGTAACCGCTCTTAAGCCATGGGAATGATCTCAACAGCACACAAATAAACCCCATTACATAAGTTCAAATCAGCTCCATGCCTGCCAAAGAAAGACTGGACTGCATTCATAAAGAAGTGTGAGATAGACAGAGAGAACTTGAAGACAGGGACATTGGGAGGGAGAGAGGGAGTTAATCCAGGAGCGTTATCTTGCCGTGCTTGTGAATGCCCTGGCTGGAATGCATGTCCGTATTGCACTGCCTCTTATGAGCAGGACCATGAAGGGCATTTCGTTTACACGTTCATCTTTCGCTGGCTCTCTCTGTCAACCTGGCTTTCTTCTCATCTTCCATCCATCTTCTTCTTTTTACACAAAAGCACAGTGAATGGAAGCCAAATTCACTCTTTACCAACAGTGTTGTCGGTGTTTTATTCAAGTTCTGGGGAAGGTGTTATAAAAAAAAAAGTAAAAAATTCTCAATGCATTCTCAATTTTACAGTATTTACATCCATTTCAAATCCGATTCGCTTCTAAATGAGTGCAGAAAAATGCAAAATAAAAATAAATAAATAAATAAAAGCCTCAAATTCTGTCTGGGGCTGCTGAGTACTCTATACCTCATCTATGGTGAATTCATCTCATCTATGAATTGATTTCATCAGATTTATATAGTGCTTTTGTCTCTGTCACTTTTTGTGTGTAGTGATGAAGATATGCAGAGTCTGGCCAGTCTGATGAGCATGAAGCAAGCTGATATTGGTAATCTGGATGATTTTGAGGAAGAGAATGAGGAAGATGAGGAGAACAGAGTGAACCAAGAGGAAAAGTCCGCCAAGATCACAGGTGAGACCTGCTGAATTTCATCTGAAGACGCTTTGCAGGTGAATCTGATAATTCTTTCTGTTGAAAGGCAGTGATCTGTTGTTTCTTGATCTGTTCCTTTTTCATTATTATTCTATTCTGTTCTTTTCTTTTGTATGTAATAATCTGTTCTGTTTCTTGATTGGTTCTATTTATTACATTTTTTCCATTATTCATTTGTTTCATTATTTTTCATTATTTTTCATTAATTCTATTATATTTTTCTATTCTGTTATTCCTAATGTTTCTTCGTTTTCAATTGTATTCATTACTTTATTTTATTATATTTGTTTTGTTTCTTGTTTTATTGCTTTTGTTCTGTTTCATGATCTATTTCTTATTCCGTTGTTTCTGTTCTTTTTGTTGTTCTTTCTATTCTGTTCTGTTCTATTTTATTCATTTTTCTAGAATTTAGTTTCTGATGGCTGCATGGTGCATTTGTATGTAGTGTATAAGCTAAATATTTATGTCTAAATTGTTATAAGAGAACAAGAATAGATATGTGTGGAGTTTTGGTCGCTTATAAATTTCAGCATGTCAGTGTTTGGTGTTCTCTTCAGGATTTCTGTCCAGTCTCAGTTCAGTTTCATTTGAGTGACAGTTACCTTTTTTCCTTTTGTGGTTTAATTTCTGTGTGTATGTGCGCATTTACTTATGCCTATTGAGGCTTATGGCTGTGCTTGTTTACATTTGTTATGTTTTTGGTCATAGTTTATTAGCTGCTTTTTTTAGGCTTTCATACACAATGCACTGCTTGATCTTTGTGTATGATAAGGAATGTCCACCCAATACATGTCCTGTGAGTGTATGTTCGTGTTTGCATGTGCATATGTCTATGTGTGTGTGATTGTGTGAGTGCGTGTCTGTGGGACTCTGTGATATAATCCAGCCTCCCATCACCCCCAAAAAGCTGGAGTCTTAACATTAAACCCATGTGCTTTTATCCCTTTATAAGTGTATGTATGGAGCTCCTATGGAAATGCTTGAGTTGTTTATTCATCGTATGGGTTTAGGAATCTCTTTGTTGTCATAGAGATGACGTCCGATATGTTTTTCACAGTTTGTTACAGCGAAGACGCAGTTCGGTCTCTTTTCAGAGAGACACACCTCAACACACACACACACACACACACACACACACATTTCCTGAATGTATTACATACCTCTCTTTGCATTATACAGGTTAGCGTGTGTGTGTGTGTGTGTGTGTATTTGAGTGTGTATTGATTGTATGTTGTGCTGTTTGCAGAGATTGTGAGGCAGCTGAATGCTCTCAGCTCTATAGATGGAGATCCAGATGACTGCCGAAAGCAACCAAATAAACCTGCCTCCTCTTCTGAAGGTCTTTCCGCTTTCACCTTCTTTCATTCTTTTATTCACACTCTCTCACTGTTCTCACTCTCACTTTTATTCACTATCTGTCTTTTTCCTTCTCTCCTCTTTTTTTCCATCCATGTGGTTGTGCTGTGTGTTATAGAGCTTAATTTTTTCTTATTTAGCGTTCTTCATTTGTGATCTTGTACCCTCGTTCCACCTTCTGCAGTTTGTAGTGAACCCAACTACCCTCTGAAAAACGTTGTTTCCGTATCCATGGAGTTGATGATCCTGAAAGACATGTCCTTAAAAACACCACTGGTCATGTGATAGAGTGCTCGGATGGCTTAATATGGGTCAGGGTGGCGTGGTGGAGCGAACAGAGACGCCACATCTTTCTTATCACCTCAGAGAGCACTTCACTCTGTCACCCTACACACACACTGTTTTTTTTTGGCCCACTGGCTCATGTTGTGAGTAAAAGTTCAGAATGAAACCCTGCATCAGCTCTTCTGGAACATACAGCTCTTTGGACCTGAAGGATCTTGGTGTGGTTCACTTCAAAATGCAGATGTCAACAATTTATTTATTGGTTGTTCATGCCAGAGTTTTGCTTTTATTCAGATTTTCACCCGATAATTCAGCGGTTGTCCTCGCTGATTGTTTTGGACTGATGAGTGATGTTCTCTTTTCTCTTCCTTCTTGTTCTGTTATCATTGTGGATGGATGTTGATGGTTTAGAGTTGATCAGTAAGTTGAACTTCCTGGATCAGGAGGACCAAGAGCAGAGCGACATGAGCTCTAACCTCTTCGATGAACCTAATGACCCGGTTGACCTTAACCCCTTTGGTGACCCGGATGAGGACGGTAAGGAGTGACTCTTGACTCTTTGTATGACCCCTTTGCCCCTTTATCAACAGGGCAGGTTGTACTCATTAACAATCTGAGACACGTGACGATGTATTAGAGGGTAAGTGCACCCAAAAATGAAAATTAGCCCATGAATTACTCACCCTCAAGGCATCCTAGGTGTATATGATTTTCTTCTTTCAGACGAATCCAGTCGGAGTTACATTAAAAATTGTCTTTGATCTTCCAAGCTGTTTAATAACAGTCAGCGGGTGTTGCAGTTCATCAGTCCAAAAGAAGTGAAATTAAGCATCCATCCATAATAAAAAGTGCCTCACACGGCTGTGGGGGGTGAACAAAGGCCTCCTGTAGCGAATCGATGCGCTTTTGTAAGAAAAATAACCATATTTAAAATGTAATAATCAATTTAATCTAGCTTGCGCTCACTATTGTGCATGGAAGCAGCTACGGGCGGATGACGTAAGACGTCGGTGTTGCGCATGCGCCGCTCAGAAGTGACGAACGCGGAAGCGCAGGGGAGAGATCAAAACAAAACAACGGTCACGAATTAGAAGTACAAAATGAGGATTTGTAAAGAAGAATGTCGGAGGATTTCGATATAAGCCAAGAGGAGACTGGTTTTCCTTTGCTAAAGTAAGGAAACTTTGCTTCCTTTGCTCCTGTAAACAAATGTTGGTTTTCACGAGACGATCTTACGTCATCCTCCCGGAGCTGCTTCTGTGTACAACTGTTGGCGCAAGCTAGATTAAAGTGATGATTACATTTTGAATATGGATATTTTTCTTACAAAAACGCATCCCGCAGCCGTGTGAGGCACTTTTTTATCATGGATGGATGCACTTTATTTCGCTTCTTTTGGACTGATGAACTGCAACACCCGCTGACTGCCAATAAACAGCTTGGAAGATCAAAGACTATTTTTAATATAACTCCGATTGGATTCATCTGAAAGAGGGAAGTCATATACACCTAGGATGGCTTGAGGGTGAGTCAATAATGGGCTAATTTTCATTTTTGGGTGAACTATCCCTTTAAGTGAAAAGGGAATGTTTACTGCAACTGGATTTTGGAAAATCATTCTTAATTAAGATTTAATTATGTAAATGCATTTGATACTAGGGATGTTCAAAACTATTTTCAAATCCAACTAGTCAGTGGGTAGTCAGAACAACTAATTGACTAGTTGGTCATAAAGCTGGCATGAAATGAAAATACATTTTTTTAATTCATGTTATAGAGCTTATTGTGAACGATTGATCCATGTATGTTTTATTTAAAATATAAAGAAATTATTACAGCTATGACTGTTGATTATGATTGTGAGATTATTCACAATTTTTATTTCAATTATAGTTTCTTTTCATGATTATACATTTAAAGGGGTCATATGATGCGATTTCAATTTTTCCTGATCTGTAAAGTTGCAAAGACTAAAGTCTCAAATCCAAAGAGGTATTCTTTATAAAAGTTAAGAGTCAACCACGCCTACCTAAAACGGCTCGTTCTAACACGCCCCCACATGTCTACGTCACGATGTGGGAAGATTTGCATAACGCCGCCCAAATGTTCATGCAACGAAAGAAGGCGTAACTTTTATTCTCGCTGTAGTATTGTTGCCGCCGCTAAGTCATTATAATCTGTAATTATGTCCCCACTGGAAATGCCTCGTCGCTCCGGCCGGGACACGGCATCACAGTATGGTAAGGCGCGTAACATTTCCGTCACACGCTTGAGGTATTCAGCCGAGGCGAAACAATAATGTACAATATGTGGAAAATAATGTTTTTTTTAACCTTAAACCGCATAAACACATTTCATTACACCAAATACACAAAATTATGTTCTTTTTAGCAACATCATATGACCCCTTTAATAGTACTGTTATGGTGGGCATAATTTATATAATACAGGTGGGCATGTTGTGCATTATTTGTGTATTTCTAGAACCATCTCCCAAGCCCCATGTGCTGTCTACTATCAAAGATCAAGAGCCTGTATTTGATCAGAACATCTCTTATCCCTCAAACCCGTTTGATGAGGCTGAAACAGATATGGATTCTTCTCAACACGGGAACCCGTTTGACGAACCTGAACCCGAACCCCAGCCTAAAGTATCTTCACCCAGAAGCAGCAAGAGAAAGAACATCCGTCCGGTGGACATGAGCAAATACCTGTACGCCAACACAACCAGGACAGAGGAGGAGGAGCTAGATGAGTGAGTCAAGGAATTCTGGGATATTCTGTGGGAGGGGCTGTGGGTTACAGCAGATCAATTTAAATTATTATTTTTGAGTTATCAACACAGTTCTGTAACTAGGGATGCAACGATTATAGATTTTGTTGGTACGATTATTGTCTGAGAAGTAATCACGATTTCACGATTATGACGATTATTATGCATTTATTCATTTCACAAAATTATTAATGTATAAAATCACATGGACACTCTTTAGATAATAAAGTGTTATTTATTGCTGCCTTTAGAAACAGAAATAACACAGTAACCAATAATACAGCACAAAATAATAATAATAAAGACAAACAAATGTCTATCTCTCCAATTGGAATTAAAAAGGTGACCTCTGCTCTGGTGCTGGGCGGTATACTGGTTCATACCGAATACCGGTGTTTATTTTTCTTATGA